GCGAGGGGGGGGTGAAAAGTATTCCGCGGCGAAATCTCCAGAATTTTTCATTATCGGCCCCACAAAACCTGCCCGCCCCGGCCGGCCGCCGCCGCCGCCGCCGCCGCCACATTCATCTTGGTGACGCGGGAATATGAGCGCGATCCGAATCAGGAGCGCGGCGGAATTTATGGAGCGCTGCGCCGCCTGCAATCGGGTGGCCTTTCACAAATAAGTAATGGCGGCGGCGTGTCCTCGTATCTCACGCCAGGAGCGCATCCATCTTTCCTTCTTTTTATTATTTCAAGCCCAATGTTTGATTTGGCCTCACCTGAGACGGAAAAAACAAAACCCGAGGCTTATTTAGATAGGACGACAGTGACACCGTATCATGTCGCGTTTGTCCAAGGGAAGGCGCATATTGGATTCAAAAAGGAAAAATGTCCCGGCTTGGTATTCGATTTACTCGTTTGTTTCCACGCTTTGAATCCATTCCACAAAGTCAGAGAAGAAAATCTCAAACAATGTTTCCCGCCGGAAATCTCCACTAAGTCCAAACCCCGCCCCCACATTGGCGGCACATCCGGTCAAAAGGTCGGCGAAGGCCACCAGTTTGGCCGCTCTTTGCTTTCCGTGCGACTTGTGGGTGTGGCCCTCTCGGGTTCCGCTTCGCCTTTTTTTTACCTGCCAATTTTTGACCTGAGATGGATTGGCGACCAGTCCGCTCCTTGACAAACTGCCAGGCGACCTTCCTTCCTCTCAACAGTTTTCTTCCACTTTGTCCGTTTCAACTTTTCAAAGTTTTGCCAACGAAAGAAAAAAATCCCGTTTAGGATCTGGCGCACTTTTTTTTTTTTTTTCTCCTCCTAATGAGTCTTTTCTTTGGAGCTTAATTAAAGTTTTTTTTTCTCTTTTTCATGTCTTTTGTTTCCGCGTCCCCCTCAGAGACGCCAAAGTCTTTTCCGCATGCTCCCTTTTTTTGCGTTGGGTTTTTCCCGCCCGCAAGAACGTCGATGTTATCTGCGGGTAATTTGCGCCGTCATTCCGAGAGGTCGCCGGTTGTCCCGAGCGACAAATTTTCCACTTTTGATTTCCTTCTCAACATCATTCCATGATTTGGAGCAGGTGAACGTGACCTCAGAACCAACGAAGCGACCAAATGAAAGGCGCCTCCCTCTTAAGATCCAATTAGATTGTCCAATGCAAAGTCAAGCTTTTTTTTTCCTCACCCCCCCCCCATTCATCTCCGTCATTTTTTGCACCGTAGCCCTCCTGCCGCAAAATAAAGCATCATCGTCATCAGAAGTGACGTGCGATATTTTGTCATTGTCGCCATTGAGTTGCCGTTGTTTGTTGCGAGCCTCAACTTCTCAAATCTTGGCTGCAATCGGTTGAGGTTTTTTTTTTTTTGGGGGGTGGGGTTGGTCTTGGTGGTGTGTCTCTCTGAACATGAAAGTGTGATTGTGACGATGCCTTTTTCCTGCCAACGGTGCTTTTTGGCATCCACGCTGTCAAAAGTGTGAAGTTTCTCGTGAAATTCGAAGAGACTTTCGCTTCGAGGAGAAGGCGCACCTCCCGAAACAGGAAGTGAATGACGCTGAGGTGAGATGATTCTCATGGCGGCCACCTCTCACTCACTTCATCATTTCTCCCTCCCCCCCGCGACAAAAAAGGAATTCCCAAAATGTGTCTTTTTAGGTTTTCACTTGCAAGGACTAAAGACGGGGTTGTTTTTGTGCTGCTGCTTTTTCGTTCAACCAAGTTGAAGGTGAATGATAAGATATTTTTTGGGGTTTTTTTTTTTTTGAAGTGCATGACTAAATAGGGTCAAAGGGAAATATTGCCGACCTACTTTGAAGCAGGAAGAGGAAGCTGACGTCATTCAAGATTTTGATCAGTTTTTTTTTTCTGCTTGATTCCATTTCTTGAATAAAAGTGACTCATAAAATAAGGAGAAAAAAGCAACCCTTGTGCGCAGAGACTCAAAGACTGTGGGTAGATATAAATTAGATGGGGTTTTTTTTGTTTTTGTCATCATGATGGAAGATCGATTTCGAAATTGGAGAGCATCGACTAGAAAACAGAAATGAGTCAAATGAGCATTCTCATGTGGTGGTATATCTTTTATTTTATATGTCAGTATTTGAAATTCAATAATTGCTCGATTCTGAATAACTTTGACTGCAAATAATACACCAAAAAAAAAAAAAGCGTCAGGGAAGGATGGGACACGCCCTGCCCGCTCTTGCGGCGGCGGCGGCGGCCTCTTCTCGGGATAATTATGGGTGCAAAATCCTTGTCATTGCAGCGGGAAGCTCTTTAGGTAGCGATTCACCCCCATGAATGGAAGCCTAATTAATCCACTTAATCTGCTGCATGAGATTATTGCGCACGCACGCACACGCGCGCACACGGATGGCCTGTCCCCGACAATGGAGGGCTGCTGATAAAAATAGATAGACCGCGATTGAAAAGGGCGGTGCGCGGTGTGATCGTATTGCGGGAGGAGGCAGGGGCACGCAGATAAAAGTATATAGTGCCCCCCCCGTGTTGCGCGATAAGGCGTCGAGCTCTCCGTCATTGAGACGGGCTGCAATAAAGGCGCGCCAAAAGGCGCCGGCTGGAAATATGACGAGGTGCGCTTCCTGTGATTGGAAAAGGCCACTTCCTGTTTGTGACGGAACGTGACGCCGCCGCCAGGAAAGCGCCATCAAAAGCGAGAGAAGATTCCTCGAAGATGCGAACGCCTCCTGGCTCTCGCTTTCGCTCACGCGTGGCTTTCCGCGACTTTGAGCGAGCTGGCGCAATGAGTCAAAATGATGAGCGCAACGAAAAAGCCGAGTCGACTTGACTTGAAAGCCCCAAATTGCTCAGCGCGGCGCACTCGAGCATATTTCGACGGAGAAAGTTTAGTCGCGTGAAATTTGGTGCGCGTGCCTATCGTGGGTGGATCCACCCTAAAAAAAAAAAAAAAAAAAAAGTCCTCCCCGAAAAAGCAGCGCATGTCTACCGGTCGGGTTTGAAGTGGACATCTCAGGAGCCCGTTGGCAAAGAGACTTTGACTGAGCAACACAGAATTTGCTTGTTGATCAGGAGCAGACCCGCAAAAAGTCATTTGACTCCCGATATGTTTTCATGCAGCCCAGGGATCCCGGCAATCCTTTCATCCGGTTTGGGTTTGGTTTTGTTTTGTTTTTTCAGTCAGGCCTCAGCAGCCGGTTTGACTCTGCGCCGCCAATTTTGGTGGGCACGTCTGTCATTGATAGGCCTGCAAAAAAAAAAAAAAAAACCCCAAAACCCAAAACCCCATGGGGAAGACGGCCGTTTTGTTTGCGAGTGGCCCCTCACGTGCCATTTTGGCTCTTCCTTCAAAGGGGAATGCCTCCCCCATACGCAGTCCCGATTTGAAGCCGGTGTCATGGCAGAAAGAAAAAAAACGCCGGTGTGTTATTTGGAGCACGCCGGCGCGCGCGCGCGACTCTTGTACGCGTGTCGTCGTCTGTCATAGATGTTATCACAGGTGACGCCGCGGATCCGTGATCAGGTCCGATTGGATGACGCTGGCCCAGATCGTTGATGCCAACCGTGTGTGTTTGGGAAGGGGCGGGGCTTAAGTGGGCGTGTGCGCAGTTGATATTTGGGCCGGCGCGATCGGCAAGCGCCCGCGGGGGTGTCGTCTCAGAGGCGCTCGAGCTTTGACACCGCTTGACACGTCTCGGACCGCAATCGTCAGTCGCAAAAGCGGCGGCGGCGTCGAGCGGGAGAGTTTCCGGCGAGCGCTTTCTCTTCTCGACGGTGTGCTTTTCAAATGTGGAAATAAGCCAGCACGTCTGGCGATCAAGGCGCCGATAATCGGCAGCAAATGGAAGCCTTTGTTTATTTCTTTCTTTTGCGAGCTTTCGTTCCCCCTCCCCGCGAGTTCAACTTCATTACGCCGCCAAACTCGCTCGCCAAATGACGGCGTCCGTATTGTAAATAAGCGGCGGAAAGTGTGAAATGAGTGATTAAATTGCGCGTTGCCCAGCGTGGCAAATGCCGGTTGATTGTTGACGAACGCGCGGCGTGAACATCGTCATTAAAATACAAATCGTGGAGAAGAGAACGCTGTTAAGATAGCCGCTGATTTAAGGGGCGAGAAGAGCACATCAAAAAGGGATTGGAATGGCCCAGACCATTTCTTTAATCCATCCGCCGGTGCGAATCCAGATGAGCGCAACGGTCGTTCGTTAGTGCCATCTAGCGCCGGAGAAAAAGTTGTTTGCTTGGAACGTTGCCACAAAAAGGCCTTTCCGGAAAACGTTTCAGCCTATGACACCGTGACGGGTGTGTCTTGGTTGGCCCGCTAGCTCCCCATTTTGTCCCGTTGCTCGTTAGACGGGCGAGAGACGACTTCCTCGGGGTCGCGTGACCACCGGTCGGGGGCGGGCGGGGCGGCGGGTGCGCACTTTGCACTCGGATTTGGCCCAGTAACAACATCGAAATGTCGTGCGGGTGGCGTGGCTCGAACGCGGATGAAGGCAAACGTGGAAACGAGCTCGGAATTTGGGACTTTGACTGTTTACAAACCGCCAATTGAGAGACAGAGTAGCCAAGGAGCTGAACATTTGGAATTTGGAATGCTTTGAAGAGGTGGCAAAATGTGGGTGAAGCGACTCGTGCCGTTCTGCCCGCTAGCAGCAAACAAAAACAAAACAAAACAAGA